GTCCAGGGCAAAACACTAATCTAGAGGAAAAAAATAAGCTAATGATGATAATCACTCTCTCCCATGCCTTCAGGCTGGAAGTCCTCCAAATTTTTTTTATTTTAATGTTGGTAAAAGAGAGAGAGAGAGAGAAAGATGGAGACATTCTGGTGTATGCCCACCTGTGAGAGAAGGAGTTCTTGGACAGATTCAGGTAGGAGAGGTCAGCGCAGCAGCCTCGCAGCAACGCCCCAAATAACTGCAAGAAAACCACAAGAGACACAGAAATGAAAGCCGCTGCAACCTGTTCCCAGTGAATAACAGTTATTCTGAGAATCGCCGAAGTTCTTCCAGCACAGATTAAAGCAGACAGAGATGAAACATGAACAGACAATAGATATTCTTGTGTGCTTGAAGCTTCTTTAGTACCAAAAAAACATCTCTTGATRTATAATGCAAGCAAGTTCTGCAAATAGAAAAAAAAGAAAACTTAGCTAAATCAGATCTTACTCCACTTTGAATAWGAAACAAAGTGTTTACTATTGATTTCTAACATTTATTTTATCCTTCCTGTGGGATGTGTTCAACCTTTATATAACCTAATATAATGGTTGCAAATTACAGCTTCTACAATCAAATAATTTGTTATTCGCTGCCTGTTTTCCAGGAAATTTCAATTAGATATACAGGAGATTCTAATGTTCAACATGTGAAAACAAATCAGCCATTAGAGWTAACATTTTAACTTGTGGTGATAAATACCCAGAGGGAAAAAAAAGGCAGATTGAGTAGAACACTATACATGTTTCTTTATCTAACCTCTGCAAAGCTTGATTCTTATATCTGTGGTTACTGTACACACATTTAAAAGCTACACAAAATAAACTCAAAGGCATCGAGAGGTGATTAGTGTCCAATCAAAATATCAAATGTCAGTATATGAGTGCTTGTATTGCGGTCTTTTTTTTTTTCAGGAAATGAAATAAGAACAAGTTTTATTTAAATTAAATAAACTGTGTGGCAACAAGTTTCCAAGCTTTTTCTGAACACGTTTTATTTGTCAGCCATCCATAAAACTCCCAACATACAGTACGTGAAGGATGGCCAGTAGAGACATCATGTTTTTGCCTGACAAAATATTTAATTAAAAAAAGCATTGCAAGTGTTTGTATATAAGACACGACTGAGATAAAACGGGTTATAGAGTAACACTAATTCAGTTATTTGTTAAAGTGATAGTTCRGGTCTTTTAAATGAGGTTCTGTAGAAAGACCATGAACAATTAATAATTCAGTATACCTGCTGTAGATAAGCTTTTGAATGACTACAGTTTGCAGAAAATTTTGTCCTGACTCAATTCATGAGCTAACAGGTAGTTGGAGAGGCAACAGAATCAATGGGCCTCATGCAAGAACATGTTCGTATTCTTTTCCTAAATTTCTCTTACTTTTGTTCGTACAAAGGGTTCGTAC